TAATTAACGAGATATTAATCTTTAAAGATAGCCGAATACACACGTCTGCCCGGCATACTATTGCCAAGTGTACGTCTACCTATCACTTGGCACCTAGGACGCGGGAAGTGAGGATGGTCTGACAATATAGACTTATAAGATGGCATTCTTTCGAAAGAAGCTAAAGACTTGATAGAAAGAAAGAGAAATAGTCGCAGATCTATAATCCTCTTCTTTTCTAGTAATAAATTGGTTGGTCGCCGCAGCAAGCTGGGGAGTGGTCAAGAGCAATGAAGATAAACATTTGAGAGTCAATGGCCGAGAGTTGTAGTCTTATGCTTAAGCTGATTCGTCCCCACCGCTCATTGGAAAAGAAGAAACCAAGGAGCTGTCCTTCAATGTTATCTTCAGCTTCTCTCGTATGAACACTCCGTTTACCTCATAATGGCTGTGATCAAAGTCTCGCTACAAATGCTTTGACTAATTAGAAGAAAGAATTTTACAAACTGATCAATTAAAAAAATTCAAAATGTTTGCAGCATCACGTTGACCTCTATATCCTCTTATGCCTGGCAAGCGCGCTGCTCAAGTTTTGACGCTTTAAAGCTTACGGCGCGGGGAGCTTGCCAGATCATCCCCGTCTCAGAGGTAGGCATACACTTAGCACTAATAGGCCTTAAAAATTAATTAATATCTCGTTAACTATTGGAAAAAAATGAAATCATAGAGGACTTTTTGACTCAGTTTAGTTCGCTCTACATTCGCATGAAATATTTGGTGATTATTTGGGACACCCTGCGTGCGTACGTGCATGCGTGCGCGCGTGCGTGTGTGTGTATTCTAAATCGGATCAAAATTTTGTTGTTAGAAGTATTTCGTCCATGAATATATGAGTATTTTAGTGTAATATGAATATTTTAGTTCTTAAGGTAGTACTTGCGCGACAATATCATCTAAAAGTTTAAGTCACATCGCGGTATTTGGTGGCGATACCTCACTCCCATCAGAGAGAAAACTTTCGATTGTGCCTATCTAAGGCCGCACGCACACGTGAAAACAAAATGAATACAGATACGCAAACTAATATCGGTGCTGTCAAATGCTCACTAGCCCTCTATTTTTCACCACTTCCTTCAGTCGCCTCCATATGTCAAACAAAATTGAAAAATTGCGTTCTTTTTATAGCTCTATTTTCCTAATTAAACAATCAAAAATTATGATCTTTTTTTGCAATATCCATTTCCTCTATCATTTTTTATAATGGTCCTAAGATGGTATATGGATGCTATAATTAAAAATCTTAAAGCTGAAAATATAATAAGCACAGATAATAAGAATAAAGAAAATATAAATTCCAAATTATCAAATATAATATCGATATTATCCCAGAGCTCTGAGTGGACAGCTCGTTATTCCCTATTCCTATTGCCTGTGCCTTGAGCCATATGAAGTCTAATTTGAATTGCGTATATACATCATGTTAAAACTGCACATTTTAATTGCAGTTATCTCAAAAACTAGGTAGTCTATGTTTTATGTCTAATTGTACACAAACATAGAGAGCATTTCAATTTATGATGTTTTTGATTCGATCGAGTTTGCATCTGGGTTGGAAAATTTTGCTATTGGATGTATTACACGCTGTACCAATAGGAGAGCACAAAACATCATTAATTCAGCCAGATTAGCGCAAACTCGGAGAACTCTCTCAACGGAGAAAAAAATGTTTGAAAAAACGTTTTTTTTAAACATTTTTAAAAACGTTAAAAAAAACATTTTTTTTAATGTTTAAAATAATGAGAAAAGTCCTCTTTTTTCATTAAAAAAAAACATTTATTTAATACTAAAAAAACATTTTTTTTAATATTTCATGGAAATGTTTTTTTAATGTTTAAAAAAACGCTTTTTAAGATTTTTATCATTATAAAAATTTTATAATGATAAAAGTAACGTTTAAAGTAACAAGAAAAATCTTCTTTTTTTCATTGAAAAAAATGTTTATTCAAACGTGTAAATAACGTATTTTAATGTTAAAAATAGTATATTTTAACCTTAATAGTATATTTAACCTTAATAGTATATTTAACCTTAGACAATCAATTTTATTAATTAATAGTAATTTTTAATTATATTTTTATCTTTTTAGCTTACTTTTAGCAAGTTTTGAACTTGGGATCTCAGGGTTGAATCTCATACCTTATCCGTTATGCCACTTATAATTGTCGATGGACATTTTTATTATCCATGGCACTTAACACAATTATACTAAGTTAACTTTTTTATTAATTTAGAAAAAAGACGGCGTCACTAATAAACTATAGTTAAAATTGTTTGATGTAAAACGACATATCGTAAGATTGGACATCCGGCAACACCATAACCTTGAAATATTAGCGATTTTGTATCAGCATCATATATTTTTTTTTGTACGAAAATGTCGAGTTTTGAGCCGAATAAGCGTCATTTGCGGGAACTTTTGATTTACTTCTTTAATTTGAAGAAATCTGCAGCTCATAGATTGCTTGTAGAAGCATATGGTGATGCTGCCTTACGTGAGAGAAGTTGTCGTGAGTGGTTTCAAAAGTTTAAGAACGGTGAATTTGACATCGAAGACAAAGAACGTAGCCGAAAGTGTATAAAGACGCGAAATTAGAAGCATTATTGGATGAAAATTTGTGCCAAACGCAAAAAGAATTTGCACTTACATTAGGAGTGACTCAAACAATTTCATATCGTTTGAAATCATTGGGAATGATTTAAAAACAAGGGAATTGGATTCCATATGAACTGAAATCGAGAAACGTTGAACGCCGATTTTTCACATATGAAATGCTACTTGTCAGGCATAAACGAAAGGGTTTTTTGCATCGTATAGTCACTGGTGATGAAAAATGAATCCACTACGATAACCCAAAGAAAAAGAAATCATGGGGATCACCTAGCCATGCTTCAACATCGACAGCCAAGCCGAATATTCATGGAAAAAAAACTCATGTTGTGTATTTGGTGGGATCAGTTTGGTGTCGTGTATTATGAGTTGCTCAAACTGAACGAGACCATTACTGGAGTTCTTCTCTACCGAACACAATTGATGAGATTGAGCCGAGCACTCAAGGAAAAACGCGCTCACTATTACTCCAGGCAGACAAAATTATTCTCTTGCATGATAATGCTCGATCACATGTTGTAGCGCCGGTTAAAATCTACATAGAAACACTCAAATGTGAAGTTCTACTTCACCCGCCGTATTCTCCAGACATTACTCCTTCCGACTATCACTTGTTCCGATTGATGACGCATGGCCTGAGCAGCACTTCACATCATATGAAGATACCAAAAATTGTATCCATGATTGGATAGCCTCAAAAGATGAAGCATTCTTCCGACGCGGTATCCACATGCTACCAGAAAGATGGGAAAAAGTAGGCTAGCGATGGCTATTACTTTGAATAAAACATTATGTACCGTTCTTTCACAATAAATGTTTAATTTTTGATAAAAAACGGTGGAAACTTATTTACTCTCTATTAAAATAATAAAATTTTTTTAATCTTTATATTAAACGTCAAACGTTTAAAAAAATGTTTCCTTCGAAACATTATTTCAAACGAAAATTTAATATAAAATTAACACGTAATAAACGTTAAATACATTTAAAAATATTCTATTGAATCATTATTTCAAACAAAAAATTAATGTATAACGAACATTTAATAAACATTAAATAAACGTTAAAAAAGTCTTATTTTGAAAATGAATCATAAAACGTAAAATTCATTACGAATAAACGTTTAAAAAACATTTAATAAACATTAAATAAATGTTATTCTGAAAATGAATCGTCAAATGTAAAATTAATGAAAAATAAACGTTTAAAAAACGTTTAAAAAATATTTTCTCCCCATTGGGCAGTCGGAGAAAATATCATTACTTGTATTTAAAATTATAACATATTCGTAAAAAAATCATTTTACACAAGTACTATCTTAAACATCTATTGGTTATATTTAATCTATAGTCTATAACATATTCTTGCCTTTGGGTTAATCAAATTCCGATAGCATTGTCGGGAGAAATAAGGGATTCAAAAAGGCGGGGGAGATAGAATTCGATTATTCTTCAGTGGAAAATATTATTAAATTTATAATTAAATTTATAATTTCCTTATTTATCGCGCGCGCAGGGATCGTCACTAAATAACAAAAGAATTTTTAAACGTCAAGAATTATTTTTTAAGCTTATAGGTATTTTCTTCAAAAGTGTCAAAGGGCCAATTATCGCATTATCGGTTATTATGATCCATCGCGGATGCCAATATTTCGTGAACCTTACCGTTCACTTTATCGAGACGAGGAGTGCGCTTCTTATCCAGATGAAGTAAAGGCAAGATTCACGAAACGTTGACGTTAACAATGAATCACAACATGATGATGAATCTGCCCTTTGGCAACTCTGAAAAAATAAATAAATATTGTAAAGCTTAAAACTTATATTGTACTTTAACATGCTTTTAGTCAATTTTTAAACAATTTTTATGTTTACAAATCTGTATCTCTAATAAAATCGAATTATGTTCTTCAAAATTACGTACATTCAATAGGCTGTAGCTCGATAAAAAAATTTTTTCTCAAAAAGTTTAATATTTTTTACAAAAAACAATAGTTTTGTCTACAAAATATATAAATTTCTTTAGAAAAAAATTTTTATGGAGCTACAGATTGTTGAATGTATGTAATTTATAACAATTTTTTCGTTTTCACCGAATTTCAGTGATCTACAAAATTGTGCAATTTGGAGCGTTTTAAAAGTGTTCCTTATTTTTCGTTGAGTAGTGTACAATTCATATCAACATCAAATCAACATTAAATCGACAATGTTAGGTCTGAGAGCTTTATTTTATCAAATAAGTAAATTAAATTATCGAAAAAAGCGATCATTTAATATTAAAACAAATTCCGTAAATCGTTAGAAAATAATTTACTTTAATGTATTTTAATGAAAAACATATATCTATATTTTAGGAGTCGATACCGGGCTGGACCGATGCGGAAGTTGCGTCGTCGCGCCGTCCTGAAAAATGGCGATTGCAATGTGTTACAATCACGCATCTCTCGACGATCATTGCGTTTTCTTCAAGACATCTTCACAACTTTAGTGGATACACAGTGGCGTTGGACTCTGCTATGTTTTACCTTGAGCTTTCTTTTATCTTGGCTGGGTTTTGCAGTGATTTGGTGGCTAATAGCTTTCACTCACGGTGACTTCGAAGAGCATCATTTGCCGCCTTTTCAAGTAGAAAACAACTGGACACCATGCATTTACAATATTTTCAGCTTCACTAGTTGTTTCCTCTTTAGTATCGAAACTCAGCATACTATTGGATATGGCAGCCGCTCTACTACCGAAGAATGTCCTGAAGCTATATTTATTATGTGCCTTCAGAGTATAGCTGGTGTCATGATCCAAGCTTTCATGGTATGTTTGAAGAATGTTAAACTGTTACATATAAAACGTCGAATCATAAAAAGTTAAATTTAATTAAAGAATTAATTGCAGGTGGGCATCGTATTCGCTAAAATGACCAGGCCAAAACAACGTACCCAGACTTTGTTATTTTCGCGAAATGCTGTGATTTGTCAACGAGATGGTGAACTTTGCCTCATGTTTCGAGTGGGTGATATGAGGAAAAGTCACATAATTGGCGCGAGTATACGCGCACAAATGATTCGCAATAAAATAACCAAAGAGGGTGAAATTCTATTTCAACACCAGCATGAACTGGTGGTAGGTACTGATGGTGAAAATGGCGATCTATTTTTTATTTGGCCAGCTACTATCATTCATCGGATCAACGAATCTTCGCCCTTCTTCAATATGTCCGCCGAAGATATGTTAACTGAACGTTTCGAAATTGTTCTAATCTTAGAAGGTACTATCGAATCTACTGGACAAACTACTCAAGCAAGGTCTAGCTATCTTCCACAAGAGATTCTATGGGGCCATCGTTTCGATCCCATTGTAAGCTACTCAAAAGAACGACAAGGTTATGAGGTAGACTATTCACTGTTTAATAGTACCACTCAGGTTGACACTCCATTGTGCTCTGGCAGGGAGCTTGCAGAATTTTATAAGGCGCAGAATGATCTTCGTCATGGAACTGGTACGCAATTATGTGATCAATTTCTTACATAAATTGTACAGATAATTTTCTAAATCCTTGGTTTATTAAATGAATATGAAACTTAATATCCAAAGTAACAATTTATTTTAATTTTTTTGAAAACATTGATTTAAAAACTTACATATCTTACAATTGTAATTATTAAATTACTGCATATAAAATATTGCAAAATTAGTTTTATGAAAAATTTTATAAAGTTAAATATTAAATATGTTCATATAACCAATTAAAATTATTCATATGCGGAGGGCGGGGGACAAATGAGAGCAATATAAGAAAACGATGTGGAAATTAGTGTGCTATTAACAATATTAATTAATTAGTAAATTACATTCGAATTAAAATACAAATTGTCATCTTTTCAACGATATCTATAAATAAAAAGAACTATTATTCGTAGATCGCAGATAATAAAGATAGCTTGAAGTAAGCCGCACATAACAAACTCGACAGTATTAATTTAAACATAATTTATTAATTTGTTGCATTAATAATGCATTAATTTTTAAAAATGCATTAATTTTTAAAAATGCATTAATTAATAAAAATGCATCGTTTTCTTGTATTACTTTTATTTGTTCTTCCCCCCTTCTCCTTCAAATAATTTTTATTCATTATTGAATTTCAAGATCTCATTAATTTATTACTTGTAATTATTTATATTATAAATCAAGAATTAGAACTGCGATATAAGACAACAAATATTTTATTAATGAAATCTAGAGCAGATTTTTTGCAAGATATTAATATAAATCAAATTTTCTATTCTCGCAATATGAAATACTGATAACAAAACAATCTACATTATCTATTTACATTATAATCAATGAGCGCGTTCAGCAGCTCAATGAACACGCTGCTATGGGATAATCTAGAAGAATAAACCAATAGCAGCGAGTGCTCACAGATCCGCTCTGCAACAGTTGAGTCTGCTAAACACGACCAATACCTACCTGTGTTACAATTAATCATACTTAACAATCAATATTGCATTTATTTAATCTAAAACAATTTTTTTATGTACATTCAATAATTGATAATTGACGTTATAATGCAGTAGCAATTTATAATATTTTAAATGCATTGTTCATTTACACTATTTCTAGAGTTTAATATCAAAGAATTTGTATTTCCTTATAATAACCGAATTTAATTATTTTTAGACTTTAACAGAGTTATCTATAACATTTAAAAATTTTATATTATTGTATTACTCACAATATATGAATATGCAAAGCTTTTGTAGAATCCATTTATTACTAATATTTGGTAGAAGGACCTAAAACAGCAATTATTAAAAAAACTGACATTATTACATGTTATTAATTTCCTTACTTGGAAACTTCCAAACTTTGTAACTATTAAAAATTATTAATAATTGTGCTAATTGTTAACCGGTATGTTAACACTTAACTTGAACCAGATTTCTGGCACTCGATGGTTTCATGCAGTGAGCTATATACCATGATATAAAAACAAGGATATGCCTATATGCAAGTAATCACATGACAGTTGAGCGACCAATTGAGAATTGTTATCAAGTTACATCATCGTTGATTCGTGATAAATTCGAATATATTATTTTCCAGTATACTTACAGTGCTCCTTGCAATACACTTTAACAAATACAAAAGATATTAAACATAAAACAAATATTAAAAATAATAAACAAATTTTCGATGCAAGTATGTAATATAAGAAATTGTTACACTTTTTTTAATCATATATAATAATGAAAGAAATTATTTGTTAGAATCTGGTAATTATGTTCGAGTACTTAGTCATTCTTTTCAAATTATGTACCTACACATTGAATATAATCTATCAAAAAACGAATTTAATCTACATATAACTATAATTGTAACGAGCGTTTTTCATGTCAATTTTTATGGAACTGACAAGACTCTAGTCTCATAATTTAAGGTTGTCAATCGAATTGCAATATCTTTATTGAATAAAAAAAATAAAAAATAATTCAATGTTCAATTAAATAAATTAAAATAATCAGTTAAAGGACTCACAGCATGATATTCTTCGCTATTGTTATAAACTACTAAACATTATATTTAACTAATCAAAGTACAGACGTTTCGACCTTCTAACCGGTCATTTTCAATGTTACAAATACAGTCTACATTAAAACAATGACATACTAAAAATTCTAGAAAAGTCTAGCGCTTATAATATTAAAAATCTTAATCCTGAAGCAACAACATGTGCAATCCGAAAACCTTGATATGACTATAAAAAGTTATAGGATCTTGTCTTAAATCTATCATTCCAGAAATGAATCTCATCTTATTACAATGTATCAGTTAACAATTATAATTTTCCATTATTCGATAGCGAAAGTTGAGGAATGCACGGGCCAAGAAATCAATATAAATCTGAGAGTAGTAATAATGTTCATCCATTTGCGAGCTTATCAGTAATTCAATACAATATCGAGTAATTACATGTTACCTTAATTAAAATGAAGTACAGTAAATACAAAGTTGTTAATAAAGAACACTATTAATTTGATAAAAGAAACTTACAGACATGAATCGGCAAGTTAATAATATTAGATTAATTTAAATTTTCAAATCAAATAAATAAGTAAGTAGTATGATCACCGGAAATACGCAGATCGAAGATGCAAGCGAGCATAACATCACTATCATTAATCACTATCATTAATCCTTATAAAATACATATAATATCTTGAATCAAGGTTAAATGCACATGATATAATTTCAGAAATAAAATACAGAGTATATAGATAACTCAGAGCTGAAATTGAAACATTATCAAATAAATGTCTCAGAGGAATAATTGATTTTTATGAAATTTCTTAATGCTTTCAAGAAATGGAAGGAATAAGAATTTCTCTTATTCAAGCACGGCATTTGATATTAAACAAGTATCAAGTTATCATAATAACAAAGAAAATGGACTTTAATGTATTTAATGTATTTATTAATCTTAGTCAGTCTCTGAGATGTAAACCAAGTAATCGCTAGCATGAGTGAGTCGAAGCCAAACGAGCAATATCTCAGTATGCAAAGAAGGATGATGAACTTTCTCAAGTTTAGTTATATCTTTTAGTTTCGGACTTGATCATGTAAAGTGATATACAGGCCAACTCAATCTCAATGTAATGCAAGGGATATGGTAGTAATGTAATGCAAGAATATCCAATCTCATCCAATGTAATCGTTATTCCAAGAATAGTGATGCAACTTATATGTTTCCGTCCAGAACAATCGTATTGGCCAAGCCGGTAGCAATTGCAAGGAAAGCGTATAGTCCCGTGTGTCATAAAGGCCACAGAGGTGATTCGGAAATTACCAAGATCTCGAATTGGAATTCATCAAATAGATAATCCAAGACCAATCGACATTAACTCAAATCGAGGGATGCAATAAGTCTCGTCGGACTACAAACTTAGGCAATGATCGATATTCGATGCAACTCTCCAAGATGACTATTCACGTCATCATCGCAACTTTCCGAAAATGATGATTCACAAGATTATCGTAACATTCTAAAATGACGAATGACGTTATCGTCGTAACTTTCCAAGAATGACGATTAACGAATAAATCAGTATTATACGCGGTTGAAGTTGACATGTGCATGATCGGCCATTGCAACGAATGATAAGCACAAGCAAAACAGAAACGACGACCAAGAAAAGGAAAAATGGCTTCCGACAGATGGCCGCGTTCACAGCGCTATTCATGAGTCAATTGTAGATCCACATAGTTACACGGCGTTCCTCACTAGCGCGCATACGCGGGAGTTTTGATTCAAAATGCAAACTTGCAACAGCTATCGTATAAGATTATTGAATCTCTTCTTAAAAGCTTACATATAAATTGTGACATGATAACGTGATATTGTTGTGTTATTACCAACGAATGTGATAATAATTAGCGCATAAGCATGTATGCAGTCTTAATACTGCTTGCTGTACATACTGTTATGTGCTGTAATTATAGATACATTTAAAGTTTTGTTTTTATTCCAGTTTTTTTTAAATCAATGTCTCAGAGACTAACCTCAATAAAAGTGTTGTTATACTTTAATGCTTAAGGGTTAAAATATTAAATAAGAAATAGACAAAAATGTATTTAATGAATATTTTTTATTACTTAGCTAGCTCTCTAAGTTATGAAAAATGTATCATTTTTTCAAAAGTATTTTTTTCCCATAATTTATTTTAAACCAAGAATAAAAAATTTTTATACATTTTGAAATTTGATTAATTATTATTTTATTATTGGGAGTACAAATTATTCGGTCCGTTTCTTTGTGCATTTAGTTCAAAACAAAATAAATGAACAGATCAATTAAAGTATTGTCCATCGCTGCCTATTACTTTTTCCCATCTCTCAGGATTTTCCATCTCGAAAAAATGACTTGTCTTTGGAGGCGATCCAATTTTGGAGCCAATTTTCGATTTCTGCAAAAGAAGTGAACCGATGACTTGCTGCATCCTTCGGAACAACCAATAATCAGAAGGAGCAATGTCCGGAGAATATGGCGGGTGCGGTAAAACATCCCATTTGAGCGTTACAAATATTTTTTTACGATTTTAGCGACATGAGGAAGTCATGAAGAAGAATACTTTATCATGTCTTTGCTATTCCGGCCGTTTTTCTCGCACGACTCAAACGAATCAATTGTAACCGATACTGATCGCCCGTAATGGAATTGCCAGGTTTCAGCAGCTCATAGTAAACAAGACCCTTTTGGTCCCACCAGATACAGAGCATGATCTTCGAATCATGTTCAGCCGTGATGTTGATGTTGAGATCGATGGCAACGATTGACCGGGCTTAGCGTAATATTTTTTCTTCTTGGGATTATCGTAGAATATCCACATCTCATTTCCAGTCACAATCCGATGCAAAAAACCTTTTCTCTGTCTTTGAATCAGCTGTTCGCAAGTAAAAAATCGCCTTTCAACGTCTCTTGGTTTCAATTCATAAGGC